GACACTTATTCCTACAACAGTTGCCTGAATACGTTGCCCTGGTAACATTCGACCATCTCGACTGCCGCACGTTAGCACAAGAGGCCGACAAATTATTCCTTGCCGTCGCTCCACCCGCGACACTACTGGCCGTAGATCGCACAACGGCTGCTAGCAAGCCCAGACCTTGCCACTCGACAGGTCTATGCTTTTACCACCACAGATTCGGATCAAACGCCAAAAAATGCGTTCCACCATGCAGTTACAAAGCCTCCAAAAAGCATCTGGCTGCGGTTCAGGGAAACGAGTAGGTGGGCCAGCAGAATTCAGTCTGGCTTCAGAACCTTCTGTTGGCCCACAAAAAGCTCAACTGATTATCATGGACATCGTCGATACGGGGGCCCAGGTTTTGGTTCTTCCTGCAACATGGCGGGACAAACAGGTGAACACTTCAGGCTCTCCACTGTTAGCCGCAAATGGTAGCAAAATCAATACATATGGAGCGCTCAACACCACCATTCATTTCCAAAACAATGCTTTCGACGCCAGGCTTGTCATCGCCGATGTAAAGCGGGCCCTACTTAGTGCTGACTTTCTTCGCCATCACAACCTACTGGTAGACATTCGTGATCAGAAACTGATAGAGGCTCAATCTTTCAAAGTATACCCGTGTACTATCAGTGAGATCAGATTCTCAGCTATAGTGGACCCAGAAAGCAACAAATTTAGGAAGATATTAAGAGAGTTTCCTGAAATCCTCGAGCCAACCTTTTCGGCCTCCGAAGTGAAGCACGGTGTTTCCCATTTCATCCCCACCACTGGTCCACCCGTACATGCCAAAGCACGTCGACTACCCCCCCCCCCCCCCCCCCGACAAACTAGCCATCGCCAAAGCTGAATTCCTGAAAATGGAGGAAATGGGAATTATTAGACGATCTAGCAGTCCCTGGTCTTCACCTCTTCACATGGTTCCGAAAGGTAATGGAGACTGGCGACCTTGTGGCGACTACCGTGGACTCAACAATAGAACGACCCCAGATCGTTATCCCATTCCCCACATTCAAGATTTCTCAGCCCGACTCGCTGGCAAAAGTATTTTCTCCAAAATCGACCTCGTTCGAGGTTACCACCAAATCCCAGTTGCGCAGGAGGACATTCCGAAAACTGCCGTCATCACACCATTCGGCCTATACGAATTTCTACGCATGCCATTCGGCCTTAGAAACGCCGCACAGGCATTTCAGCGTCTTATGGACTCCGTCCTGCAGGACATTTCATGCGCATTCATCTATCTGGATGATATACTCATTGCCAGCTCATCAGCAGCTCAACATATTAAAGATCTACGGCAAGTTTGCAAAAGACTCGAAGAAGCGGGACTAGTTGTTAGGTTAGAAAAATGCGTGTTTGGAGTGACCAAAATCGAATTTCTAGGCCATCGAGTCACACGAGATGGATCTACCCCACTCCCTTCTAAAGTCAAAGCTAAGAAGAATTCCCACGGCCAACCACCTACAAAACACTCCAAGAATTTCTGGGAACGCTAAACTTCTACCATCGCTTTCTGCCTCGAGCTGCCTCAGTACTACGCCCTCTCTACGAAGCCCTGAAGGGAGAAAAGAAGAAAACAAAACTTTGCTGGACGAAACAGATGACTACAGCCTTCCAGGCCAGCAAACTCATGCTTGCCGACTGCACTCTCCTCTCGCATCCCAGAACAAACGTTCCCATTGCCTTAACCACCGACGCATCAGATCACGCAGTTGGCGCTGTCTTCGAACAATATGTCGATGAGGCCTGGCAACCTTTAGCATTTTTCAGCAGACAACTTCGAGAGCCAGAACAACGGTACAGCACATATGATCGGGAGTTATTAGGACTCTATCTTGCCGTCCGTCACTTCCGATTTTTGATTCACCGATCATAAACCTCTGGTGGACGCTATGTCCAAGTTATCCCCACCCTGGTCAGCTCGCCAGCAACGTCACTTGACATTCATCTCAGAATTTACCACGGACATACGGCACATTTCAGGAAAGGAGAACCATGTTGCAGACTGTTTGTCCCGAGCCATTTTCCAGACCACATTAGGACTGGACTACAAAGCAATGGCTGAAGCCCAATGCACTGACACCTCTTCTCCAGACGGTAGTGCCTCTTCCCCAGGATTGCACACAGTTTCAATGGCTATCGAATCTGGGGGACCAGAACTGCTGTGTGACATTTCGACCGGGAATCCTAGACCAATTGCACCTCCAGCATTTCGTCGACAGGTCTTCGATTTGTTTCATAGCCTCTCCCACCCAGGAAGGAAGGCTACAGTCCGCCTGATATCCCAGAGATTTGTTTGGCATAGGCTAAGGAAAGAAGTCAGCAAGTGGGCCAAGGAATGTACGGACTGCCATGCTTCCAAAGTGCAAAAGCATACTAAGGCACCCATCGAGAAAATGTCCGTGCCTGAAAAGAGGTTCAGTCACGTCCATGTCGATCTTGTAGGTCCTTTACCCCCATCGCAGGGCTTCACTCACCTCTTCACAATCATCGACAGAAAGTCACGATGGCCAGAGGCTATCCCACTCAAGGACACCTCAACAACAGAATGTGGCCGTGCGCTAATCAATCACTGGATCGCCCGTTTTGGCATCCCCATCGACATGACATCCGACAGAGGCCCTCAGTTTACTTCTGCCTTGTGGAGCGCCTTGGTACCAATCTTCATCATACAACAGCCTATCACCCTCAATCCAATGGACTGATTGAGCGATTCCACCAGTTCCTTAAAGCAAGACTCCAAGGCCCGAACTGGCTCGATGAACTGGGATGGGTACTGCTCGGTTTGAGGACTGCCCCAAAGGAGGACCTGGGAACTTCTGTCGCTGAGCTAGTTTATGGAGAACCACTCAGAGTACCGGGCGAATTTTTTACCAGTGACACTTCACCATTCGACCAATCAGGCAGCCTCACCAACTTACGATCCCAAATGCAGTCACAACTTGCCAAGGCGACATCACTGCACTGTGCACCTACCTCCAACATCCACTCGTCACTAGACACAGCCAAGTTCGTTTTCATCCGCTACGACGCACAACAAAAACCCCTACAGCGCCCGTATACTGGTCCGTACAAGGTTTTAGAAAGGCTGGACAAAACCTTTCTTGTCGATCTAAGTGGTCACACGGAACACATCTCTGTCGACCGACTCAAACCAGCTTTTGTGGATCTGTCGCAACCAGTACGCGTTGCTCAGGCACCAAGACCTGGGCGACCTCCGTCTTCACCGCTTGTGAATCCAAGCGCAAATACTAACAATTCAACCCAGTCGACCCAAGCTGTACAATCCGCTCCTGTTACTCTACAGGAACCACAACAACAGGCTGGAAGGTCTCACGTTCAGGACGTATCGTGAGACCACCTCTCCAGTTCTAGAACCTCCTGTCATGTCAGCGCTGGTGGGGGGCCATGTAGTGACTCTCCGAACACTCAATTAACTCACAACACAGCAGCTGACATGATCATGACTTCGCAAGGACTTGCGGAGTGCTCACACGAAAAACACCACCTGACACGACTGTCCTACACGGCAAGTCGAGTAGAAAACTCCGGTGAGTAAAGACTTACCACAACTATGTCTTTGGAGGAGACGAGTGCGTCGAGCTGGGTGTCGGGCAACGATTCCACAGGCTTTCAAGCGTCGACGAACGGTGCAGCGGCTGATTGGTCTATGCCCAGGTCAATCTCTGGCAGTTTTAGAAGCTGTTTGAAACCGATCCCGCAAGTGTGGAACTCTGATCCGATTGTCTTCAACAGCAGTAGTGACACGAGGATGACCAAACCTTGGAGTGTCACTAACCGAACCACTTGCTTGGAAATGTATCCTTAGCTTTTGGATCGTATCTCTCTCAACATTGAAAGCTCTAGCGACAGCAGAAACCGTCGCATTAGCTCTCAGCATGCCAAGAGCTTCATGACATTGCGCATCACTGAGACGAGGCATCGTATAAAACAAAATTGAAAAGAACAAACCCAAAAATTTTGACGCCTTTTCTCTGACACACGTTGAAGTGTGTAACGAATAAAGAATAAAAGTAAAGACATTGTAAACTTTCAAGAAAAAACGAGAAAACATGTTTTTGGCCAAACATGTTGTAAACACTTTTTACAACAACAGAATAAACAAATGTTGTTCTAACTGACTTTCTAAAGTGACTCAAGCTCAGCATGTCAATCGCCAAGTCAAAATTCGCGAGACTACTCATACAGCACCAATTTGAAAACTGCCCACTTTCTTTTGCTCGCCAGTATATTGTTGTGGCGACTTCTGCCCATCCAGCAGTAATGGGTACCTGACTTCGAGTTGGGGAAGTAAAGGCGGCGTTGAAAGGAACTGGCCACCCTACCACAATATGCTGAAGGCCCAGGAAG